GCTTTGTAGACCAGGCTAGCCTCAAACTCATATCAATCTGCCTTTCTCTGCCTCCCTGGGTGCTGGGATCAAAGGCAAGGGACACCATGCCTGGCTGCATTCTTTTTTAAAATCACATATGTTTATATTTGTTTTTCAAATTTCAGATCTATCTATCTATCTATCTATCTATCTATCTATCTATCTATCTATCTAATTTTATGTGGTCTGCTTGCATTCATGTGTACCATGTGTATGCCTGTTGTCCACAGAGGTCAGAAAAGGGTGTTGCATCCCCTGGCACTGGAGTTATGGGTGGTCATGAGCCATCATGTGTGTGCTGGGAACCAAACCAGGCTCTCAAGAACATGGTAGTTTTAGTCTTGAGCTGTTTTGCTGTTGTCTTTACCTCTTGCCTCAGGGCCAGGGATGGGGCGGCCCATCCATCCCCAGACAAGAGGTCTTGAAGATACTTCTAAACAAACATGCTTGGGCCTGAAGTGGAGCAGCCAAGCCCTCCTTCAAAACAAGCTTTCAAATGAGCTCAAAGAGCATTGGCATTTACTAAGGTAAATTATATGTAATGAGGTATATTGCTTGTAATCATGGCATGTCAGTTTCCTCCAGTGGAGAGAAACCAACAAGGAAAAGTCACAAAGCTTTTAAAAATTATCATTATAGAAGTTTGATACCATCACCTCTGCCATATTTCAATACAAATGAGCCCTGAGCATTCAAGGAGAAGATTAGATTTCCCCAACCCCCTACTGTTCTTTGTGGTGGGGACGACTGAACCCATGGCCTCTCACGAGCTAAGCAAGTGTGTTTCAACTGCACTATATCCTCACCCCAGTTATATTATGTATCTTCACACTAAGTTCTCCAGGTTGCTTTGAATTTGAGATCTTCCTGAGCATCCTGTGTGATTTGAATTTCAGGCCTGGGCTAGTAGGTTATCACCACCAATGAAATGAGCCAGTTCTAGCCAAATGAAAGTACAAAGGGATATTTACTGGGGGCTACTCCAGGGTGGGTTCAATGGGGCCAACGCAGTCACTCTGCAGAGGGATGTGATTCTCTGCTCTGCCGGCTGTCTGGATTTTGGCTTGGGCGTGGCTTCCCAGAGGGAGAAAGGGGTTTCTGTTTCTCTCAGGGGCAACTTGAGAGCGCCCATGTGCTAGGCAGGGGTGTGGAAAACAGTGTTACAGTTTAGCTCTTTTAACAATGGAAGCTTCAGCTTTCCAAAGCCTGTGGTGATCCCTAAGTGTTACAGCTCTTGGTTAAGCTGCTGTGGTAAGCACAGCAGAGGTGCTGGCAGAAGCCCATGCCTGGTCAGGGTGCAGCAGAGGCCCAGGCCCAGAGAGGCCCCGGGCCCAGCAGGCCAGATGGCAGGCCTGGTGAGACAGAGCTGCAGCTGGTGGGGGAATGAATGACAAATCTCAGGTGGTCGTGGTGGAAGGCTGATGGCATCACACAGCCAATCAGGAGCATGCACCCCAGCACAGTTATTTGAAATCAGGGATTTATAAACCTTTGGGCAGTGGGAGGGATTTCGAGGGTGAATGTGTTGGATTCCCTGGAGTTAGGGATACTTGATTTTTGTGCCTCATTTTCCAGGCAGTATCGCGGTCCTAGCACAAGAAGGAAAACACAGTACTTAATTATCCTAGGGGTGAGGGGAAAATCTTCAAGTACAGGTGAAGGTTACTGAAGACTAAGATCCTTAGCAGGAGAAAGAGGCACTAGGCTGTGTGGGCACATACTCGACTGGACCCAGCACTTGGGTGATGGTGGTAAGCCTGGCCTCCTGATACCTCAGCAGCTGCCAGAGAGGCTTGGTCTCTCGCACATACCATCAGCTGAAGACCTGACCGCCCTGATGGAGAAGGGCGAGAGCATGGCGGCGGTACAGCAACAAACGGCGCAGTTGCCGCAGCAGTTGGCCACTGCTACTTCCACTCAGTTCTGGTAAAGCAGGCCACACTCAGGAGCAAATTGGGATGGCTTCAAAAGGTGGTTCAAACCCATCCAACACTAACCAGCACATGGGTGAGAGACTATCTGAGTTCCGGAAGAGAGGCCAAACCTTCAACCAGAGTTCCCGCAATGCGTTATGCCAGAGAGGTCTCAGGGCCAGAGGCCTGTCGGTGTGTAAGGAATCCAGCAGTGCTCTCAGAGTACAACCCTTCCTAGTTGGTAGCACTGTGGACCTCAGTTAGGAACAGCATGGGTAAGGTTAGGTTGTTCAGTGAAACAAGAAAGAGCCTAATTCCCCACCACAGGGACAGTTTTTCCATTGCTTTGAAAAATTGTCTTTCATCAGAACTCACTTGTGCCAGCAGCACTCAGATGTTACAGAGCCTGCTGTCAGACTGCTGCTGAATGTCACATGATAAATAACAGACCTGGAGATTGCCTTGATACTGACTTGATACTTGGAAGACAAATTCAAGTTATGTACTCAGCACCACCACAGATTTAGTTGACCTGAGGACTTTAGTAAATACATCCTAGAGAGCAATTTTATCATGTAGTTCAGTTGGGCATTTTCTTTCTTCCAGACCCAGACTTCTGCCCTCTGTGACAGTCCTTGTGGGCAAGAGGTCCCATGTTCATTTGTGATTTCCCTTGAATGGAAGGAAATTACTTCCTACTAATTATATGATATATTTAGAGTGTCCCAGATGAGGGCCAAGTCTGGGCCTTACTTCAGAGTATGTAAGCAGATAGGCAAACCAGAAATCTAAGCTTTGTAATCATTTAATTATTTACTGATAATCAGAGGATTCCAAAGTCCCTGACTAGATCCCTGTATGTTTTTTGCTCGTTTTTGTTTTTTTGGGACAGGGTTTCTCTGTGTAGCCTTGGCTGTCTTGAACTCAAAGATCCGCCTGTCTCTGCCTCCTAAGTGCTGGGACTGAAGGCATGCGTCACCACTGCGTGGTTTCCCTGCAAGTTTTTCTCATCAGTTATTATCTTACTCCAGTGTCCTCAAGTGCAGCAACAGGGCTAGTAAGATGGTGTGGTGGGTGAAGGATTTCTGCCAGGCCTCAAGACCTGAGTTTGATTTTTAGAACTCATATGGAGAGAATAGACCCCTTTGTGCCTTGACCTCCACACAGACATGTGTATACCCACATACATACACACAAATAAATGTGATTAAAAAAAAAAACTAAGTTGGCATTTGAAAAAATAATGATGCAGCTATTTATTTGGATAAGCTAAAATTTTTAGTTAAGTTTAAGTATCCTGCAAGTAATTTAAGATCCAGTATGGCTGTAGAAGACATTCTTTGGAAGTTTATTTCCTACTAATGGACAAGCACTGAAAAAAAAAAGCCACTATTTAAGGCACTGTTTGGGCAGTTCTGTGAACGTGGTATGGACAGACGTAGCTTATGTTTTTAGTGCAAGGCCGTAGGAAGGTAAACAATGAGCGTCCTTTGGTACAGATCAGCAGGAACTGTTGGTAGCCCTCTTCTAAGGCTATGGTCCTTCTCAATTACAGAAGGTAGACCTCTTCCTGCAATGCCACTTCTGTGGAATCACTTTAAAGCAAAAGTCAAATGACGCTCGATGGCCCACGCCTGTAAGGCCAACCTTTGGGAGGGTAAGGATTGCCACAACTTCAAGGCCCGATTGGGCATTTTTGTTTTGTTTTCTTTTCAAGACTCTGTCTGAAAAAGGGAGGAACAAAGGAGATAGGAGGGGAGAAAAGTGAAGGACGAGAGAGAAATAGAGAGAGAGAGAGAGAGTGCACTCAGTCTACTTCAGTGACAGGAAGTATACAATTCTCAGCACCTTCTGTGGAATGGATGAATCTATTATTACACACGACTTAGACTTGCCCCTCAAGAGTACTGCAGAGATGGCTCCATGGTTAAGAGCACTTTTTTCAAAGTATCTGGGTTCAATTTTCAGCACCCATATGGTGGCTCACAACCATCTGTAGTTCCAGTTCCAGAGGATCCATTGCCTTCTTGCCTCCATGGCTCTCGTACACAGACATACGGCAAGTAGAAGACTCATACACGTAAAATAAAATAATAATGACAAACTACAAAAAAAATCTCTTTGTGGTGGTTTGAATGATAATGACCTCTACAGGCTCACATGCTTGAATATCTGGTCCCCAGCTGGTAGAAGTGTTTAGGAAGAATTAGGGGTAGCTTTGTTGGAAGAGGTAGATTAACTGAGGGCTGGCTTTGAAGTTTCAAAGCTCATATCATTCCTAGTTGACAATTTGCCTTGTGCTTATAGATCAAGTTTTAAACTCTCAGCTACGCTCAGTGCCATGCCTGCTTGCCATGATCCCTACCATTATGGTCATGAATCTAATCCTCTGAAACTGTAACCCCTAATAAATACATTCTTTTATAAGTTGTCTCAGCAACTGAAAAGTAACTAAGACACCCTTCTACCACAGATACATACATAATAAAACAAATATTGAAATAAAACTGTTTCTAAAACACAGAAATGATATAGAATCTTTGTCTTTAGTCTAATCCACACCTACAACACTTCAGCACTGTGAGGTCATAGTTCACTTATTCCAAATGTCTCTCACTGGATGAATAATCACTGATGACCTCAATCCACACTCATCCATCTTAGGAGATTTTAACATGGGGTTTATGTCAATAACCTTATATTTGCTTTTCTCTCAAGATAACTCTATTGTTACTCAACTTGCTTCATTACCTCCCTGTCTTTTGACTTCTCCCAAATCATAGTCATGACATACCATTTCCTTCAGTATTCAAAGGTACGCCTTCACACACACACAGCAATTTCATGGCCGGCCCTGTCTCAACTGCATACAATGTGATGCACCTGAGATATTTAGTCCCTTATACTTATGTCTTGTGAGAACATTCTTCCCTCATGAGTTGTATTTTGGACTATGGGTTCAGTGACATTCTATAGAGTGTAATATTGCCTGCATTTTCAAAATGCCAATTTCTAAAACAAAAACAGGAAACAAAACAAACTGACAATGGGGAAATGGCAGGGTTTTAGTTTTGCTCTTTTAATATACAAAATAATTTAACAAGTGTTTTCACGTATCTGACACAAAATTAGACATAACGGTAATACAAATTCAATACTCACAAAATGTTTTTTAACATTATTTGCTGTAGCAATCCTTGTTGTAAAAAAATACCAGTTACTTACACCATCTCCATTCATTGGCTTTGGTAGGGTAGATCTAATTACAGTAACAATTTTTTTTGTGTCTTGTTACTGTGTACTTTATCTGCCCTAATCAGTCAGATTAATGTCATGTCCCAAGTAAAAACATGCTACACACCTCCGGAAACCCAAGAGATCTAAAGGAGACCCTGGGTTACAGATTCTATGCAGCTGCCATGCATTATTCATGGCTACATCGATCATGTAACTAACCAAAACCGAGTACCATTTCTTACTCCTTAGTCCCACCCTGTATGTGGAAATAATTTGATCCATTTTAGCTACACCTTTCCTGCAGTCCTCATACAATTTCACTATGGATGGTTGGCTCACCTGAAGGAACTCTTCATCATCAGCTACACAGCTCACTTCACTGACTGGTTCTATGCCCACAGCATTTGAACACAGACTAAGAAAGCCATCACCATGCCAACGGCATAACATTATCTCATCATTTTCTTCCACCCTGAAATCAAAATACCCTCTGTTCATCTTTTTCATATGTTCTACATTCATAAGTGGACATTTTTCCATTCTGTTTTCACGAATTGATCCTGTAGCCTTCACTCCCTTCTTCTTCAAGGCTGACATCAATTTAATACTTGTAAAGAAGTTATCAAAACACAGATGATAGGGATAGTGACCTTTCTCCAAAAGGACATTAGCAAAGCTCATGATTAGATTTCCACCTAGCCCAAGGTCCAGCTCCTTATCTGTTTCCACAGCTGAGTCTTCTTGGTAGGGCTCAAACCAAACCAGATAACCTTGTGTAGTTGTACCACACCAAATTTTATAGCCAATTCTAAGAGGCTTTCCATTCAGAAATTGGTCACCATCAAAGCATTCACACATTGACTTGTCAAAACAATAGTATTCTTCTAGGGGGGCATATAAGAGGAAATTTTTATTCATTTGCCTTATGAGAGGCCTCAATTTTGAAAACTTATCTTTTTGATCTAGGTGGCTATTATCTGCAAAATGCAGGTATGAGAAAATCAATTCAAATCTGTCCCTTTTAATTGCATTTCTAACCAGGGACTGATCAGAATCAGAGACTTCCCAATACATCCCCCTCCTGGGACGCCTGACAAATCCACTCCAGAGCAGGACACCAAACACGCACCGAATTTCCTGCACTGTGACTTCCAAGCGGACATTTTTCTGGGAAGCATAATTATTGGTTTCATTGACAATCAAGTTGAATGTTTCATCATCAAAAAATAATTCAAAGAGCTCTACTGGGTTCAACTTCTCACTCTTGAGATTCAGAAGTCCAGAATCCAGTGCTGACCAGCTTGGAAAGTTGGGCTTAATATCCCTTTTAGTCCAGCTCGTCTCAGGGCCACTGGACACCTTTAACTTCTTTCTCTCAGGCTGCACCTCAGGCTCATTGTCTTCTTCTGCCTCTGAGTCATCAGAAAATGCAAGCCCTTGAAGCAGCTCACTCACTCGAGATTTGTCTTTTTCCCGCCCCTTCCGGGTAATGTCTCCAGCTGCATACTGCAAGGATGTAATGTGCATCCTGGCCCAGGAGTCACGGGGAGGGTGGAAATTCCCGAGAGTGTTCAAATTTGAGACTGTCTGTTCAGTAGGGAAAGTAGTACTACCAGGAGTGCGGGGTGCACAATCTCTGGGAAAGAAAAAAGAATACATGCTACAAAGAAAACAAAACGAACCCCCAAATCTTTCTTCCACATACTAAATGCAAAGTAGAATCCTTTTCTGGGGGAAATCTACTTCTATTTTTGGTGTTTTCCTAGAGAAGACTTGCTCCACTTGGTGTTCTGAATTCTCCCCACCTTGCACTTATTCTCACGTTGACACTAGCTGCTGAATCTGAGAAGCTGGCACTTGGAGTACAGTGTAGGAGCAGGATGCAGACCTTCTATGCTCCTTTTGGCATGTGTTGTGCTGGCCTCTACGGGAGGCACTCTTCCATTGTGAGCCTAGTTAGCTCTGCCTCTAAGCTCCTTAGCAAGGTTAGCTTCTGGCAGCATTACTTGAGATTTCCAGATCTGTCCCACTCTTGTGTCCCTGTTCTCTCTTAACATGACCACAATCTTGTGTCAATTCACTGTTTACCAGGTCTTCCCACAGCTCTCAGGATTTCTGAGCAATGAGGACTTAGCACCCCTTAGCTTTACATTCATCTGACAGATAGATTTCTCTGAGGAGAAAATAAAAAAAGAAACTCAAATTCATTGTACTTGAACTAATTAGTGTGTGATCTACAAGAAAGCAAGCTAACACTAAGATGAGAAGTACTTCATTATGCTTGTACAATTATGATACAATTAAATTATTATTATTGTGTGAGTGTACCACAGTGCTTGTGTGGATGTCAGAGGACAGCTGAGTAGAGCCACTTCTTTCCACTTTCTGTGGGTTCTGGAGGCTGAACTCAGAGCATCAGGCTTGAGTGGCATACTCTTTACCTACTACTTGAGTCAGCTCAGCATTTCGCTTGTTATTCTGTGATTTGGGGGAGGAAACACATTAGTACCTGGGCAGCGTGTGGCAGTCAGAAGACAACTTTTGGGAGTTAGTTCTCTCCTTCCATCATGGGACCCTGGGATGAAACTCAGTTGGTCAGACTGTAGTGGGAGTTTTGGTTTCTTTAACAACCCAGTTCTATTATGTGAATACGTTTTTGTTTAATCTCAGATGTGGGATAAGAGGCTGTTTCACAGCAGGTGATTATGATTTGCCTCCTGCACTTGCAGGGGTGTGATTTTGCCAGCTGAGGATAGTTCATGTTTGGAATTTGCCAACACCCACACCAGTGTCGCCATAGTAGCATGTGCTACAGGGTGGGAAACACGCTTTCTTCGGAAATTTGCTCCCTGGAAGGTCCCTGGCACTCATCCCACTTGGAAAAGAGACGTGTTCTGAGATTTCTATGCTTTTTCAGTTGTGGCTCTGGGGCTGGATTAATGAATTTTTTGATCTTTCTCTGTGACTCCTGAAACAGCACAACTAGTTTTATAGAAATTTATTATTAGTAGATTATTAAAGGCTTTAATAAAAATAAAATGAAAAAGGAATAAGTTTAAGAAAAGTAATGAATTAGATTTAGTATTAATAGGCATTAGGAATAGTGAAAAAATAATAGCCTCCTTCTTAAGAAAAAATAGCATGAGAGGTGCAGCTGGTGGAAGTTTCCCCTCCCTTCAGTGCCTTGTTTCTAAGGAAGATTATAAATCTAAGCAGGACATATGGACATATGGGAGGATGGTTAACAAAGGTGTAGTTAGATTTTGATACAGAGAAAGATTTTGGCAGGCATCTGACTTAGCTCCTGACTTTCCTCTTCACTGGTTAGCAATAATGAAACTACATTTGAGGTTTCTTTTTCTTTGTTTGCTCTGATCAAAAAGTTTTTAGGCCAAGATTTCTTGTGGGCACTGCTTTATGTTTGACTGCATTTTGAGTTAAAATGTAAACTTTGTATTCTTGGTAAAAGTCTGAATGTTCTGGGAAGTATGCCAACTTTAAGGTGCCTTTTGTGAAATCATTATAAAAATACTAGCTTGATTTCAGTAAAGTCGCAGCAGAGTCAAAACCATCAAGGTGTCTCTGTCTGTCAATTCATCGCTGAAACCGTGTCTTCCTGTCCAAAGCTTTGTTCTCCCGCAGACGACAGGAGCCCGACTGGGCCGGTCCGTGGCAGGAATTCTTAGGGTATAAATCTTAGGGTATAAACCCCAGAGCCTTGAGAAAGAACCAGGAGGGGGTGTTCCGAAGGAGGAGGCTGCTGCTTGCCCTGCTCCTGGTTACTGTTTCAGTTTGTCACGTGGTTGTGAGCAAAGAGATGAAGTAGAAGAAATCGGATATCCTGTTGGCAGGGATCAACTTTTCCAAAGATCAACTGCCCCCAAGGATCTTGATTAGCAGGAAGTAGTTTAGAGAGTCTACACCCCCTTTCCTCTCTAACCTTCTTTCTCTTCTACCTAGTGTTGGGGGATTGGAAGGGATTGGGGTGGAGTAGGATGGCAGATATAAGAACCCAAATAAAATAGATGAAGAAAATGCACCTATAGTCAGACCTGCATAGCAAGTATTCTTCTTAACTGCTGGGCCATCTTGCTGCCTCGCTGTTGTTAGTATTTTTATTTTTATTTTTTTTTTTTTTAAATTACATGTGTATGTGTTTGTGGAATGCATATGTGAGCTCAAGTGCCAAAGGAGGCCAGATGTATCAGAACCCCTGAAGCTGGAGTTACAAGGAGTTGTGAGCCACCCAAAGTGGGTGCTGGGAATAGGACATGCATCTTCTGAAAGAGCAGCAAGAACTTCTTAACTACTGAATCATCTCTCTAACCCTCTGTTGCTTTTTGTTTGTTTTAATTTTTAAAAAATTTTATTTTATTTTATTTTATTTTTGAGACATAGTCTCGCTCTATAGACCAGGCTGGCCTGGAACTTACTCTGTAGCCTAGGCTGAACTTGAAATAAAGGCAGTACTTTCTTCTTGCTCCATCCTTGTTAGTCCTGGAATTATATGTATGAGACATCACACTTGGCTCTTGGCTCTTAAGGTGATAATATGAGTTCTGTCATGACATGCCTTTCAATGCTGAATCTAAACTCCAAGAACTATGGTGCATTAAGACCAATATGGTGAAGTCAGGCTCTGGGGAAGAGTGAGGTAAGGGACAGGAGTGGATGTGGGAGCGGAAGAAAAATGTGGGGTTGCCAGAGGCTGGGGCTCTGAAATTGAAGGTCTGCTACCCCAGACTGTAACTACCTCAAAGTGTTTTGAAACAATAAAGTATTTTTATTCTAATCGCCACTGAGTCATGGTTTCAGGCATCCATTGTTGCATATGCCCACCAAGCAAAGGGCAGATTCTATGCTGCAGTTATAACTGCTAAATCAGTGGGTACTGCATCTTGTCCTATAGTGGAACTTAGCTTAGTCCTCACTAGCGTCATTAAATATTCACTCTTCTTTCTTTTAGCTCCAAGATACTTCTGTGTTAGGCATTGTGGAATAGCTTAGTGGTGGAGTACAGAGCAAGGCCCTGGGGTTACTACAAGGAGGAGGAGGAAGAAAGAAAAGGAGAGAGATTTCTATATTATCTCAGAATTAGTCCTCTTTCATGTATGCTCCCACCAAACACTTAGACGTACCTACTACCATAATTGATTTCTCTGTATCACATTTCCTTTTGATCCGTCCCTACCTGCCTACCCTCAGTCCCCTCACCACTCTGACAGCAACTTCTCAACTGTCATGACAGTTTCACTCCTGCCAAAAGTCTGTCTTTTGGTTTCTCTACTTACACTTCTGTGAAAATCCAAGGGAAGAGTGATCAAGCAGGACAGAATAAGGAAGAGACGCTGGAGGTAGCTGTGTGGCCTCAAGCTTTTGCAGTTGTTACATACTCACGGGACAGCAGAGCATTGCCTAGTCTGTATTGTTTCAGGGAAGCAGGCTTTGACCACTGGTTTTCCTGCTTCCATGCACCATCTTATGTCTGCAGGATCTGATCCACTCAGGACACAGACACTTACCTATTGGGTATTCTTGAGGCCTTCCCACCTTGTACCATTTCTTCCGAAGTGTCCACCTCTAAGTTAATAAAATCATCATGAGTGGCAGTTCCTCTGCTAAAACAATACACTATTATCCCACAAGTTAAAATTAACAATTATTCCATAAATTCAGAAAAATAAAAGAAAACAATCTCTGGGAGTACTGAATAAATGTTCCCAAAGAAAACAAGTAAAAAACATCAACATATGTCTCAGGAGCACACATTCCCAATCCTAGAAAGTGTGGCACAGGGGCTGGGTGTGGTGGTGCATGCCTCTAATGCCAGCACTTGGGAGGTAGGTGGCAGGTGGATCTCTGAGTTTGAGGCCAGTCGAGTCTACATAAGTGAGTGCCAGGCTGGCCAAGGCTATATAGTGAGACCCTGTCTCAAAACAAACAAATCCAAAGAACACACCTGCCCCTTCTAAAAAGAAAGTGTGGCATGGCATGGGAAGATAGTAAGAAAGGCCAACTAAGGTATCAGACCAGCTAGAAAGAGGTCCCAAGAGGGCAGCACACATTTAAGGGAAGTTAAACACGGGCAGTAGTGTTCTCAACAAGGAGAACTTCCCTTGGGGTGAAAGGGATCAGGCAGAGGCACTCATGGGACTCGTTGGCGTATGAGAGGATCTCTGAAAGTACTAAGCTATATGGAACCAGGCTGGGATTGAAGATGCGCGGAAGGCACTGAGGCAGCGAGTGCATAGGGACAGTAACTATGGGTCACAGGGAGGACCAACAACCAGGGCCATCAACAGAACACAACATGACCAGGAAGGGTGCAAAATGGCAAGGGCTGTGATAGGTCTACAAGCAGAAGCCAGGATGGAGGGCAATAAACGGTAGCATGTGTGGGCTCCCAATGGCCAAGTAGAGTTGGGATTGATGATGGGAAAAGAAAAACACACATGGAGCCAGCCAGAACCTGTCCTTACTTATTCCACCCATGACCTCCTGCTGAGCCGAGCTCCCACTGGGCCTCTTCTGAGCCAGATGGGAGCACTCCTCTGAGCCAAAGGCCTGGGCAGTTTCTTCCCCAGTTTTCACCAGTGGCTAAAAACAAAGAAAAAAAGAAAAAGGAAAGAAAAACTGGATGAAGAGCTAAAGATGGTGTGGTGGTTTGATAAGAATGGCCCTTAAATTCATAGGTTTGAATGCTTGGTCATCAGGAAGTAGAACTACCTGAGAGGCATTAAACAGTGGTTCTCAACTGTCTAATGCTTTGACACTATAATGCAGTTCCTCATGTTGTGGTGACTCCAACCATCAAATTATTTTATAACGGTAATTTTGTTACTGTTATGAATCAAAATGTAAATATCTTTGGAGATACAGGTTTGCCAAAAGGATCAAGACCCACAGGTTGAGAACTGCTGGATTAGGAAGTATGTCCTTGTTGGAGCAGGTGTGGTCTTGTTAGAGGAAGTGTGTCACTGGGGATGGGCTTTATGATTTCAAAAGCCTAAGTCAGTCCCAGCGTCTCTCTTCCTGCTGCCTGTGGTTCTCTATCTGTGGTCCCAGATAGAGAGCTCTCAGCTACTCCTCCAGCACCACGTCTGCCTGCACACTGCCATGCTCCTCACCATGATAATGCACTAAGCCTCTGAAACTGTAAGCCGCCCCCAAGTAAATGCTTTCCTTTGTAAGAACTGCCATGGTCGTGGTGTCTCTTTACAGCAACAGGGCAGAGCCCTGACTAAGAGATGGTGTTAAGGCTGTTGAATGTTGTAAACCTGTAGTGCCAGCCATGCAGGGCACTTTGGGAACAGGTGTGGTGCTTATGCTCAGCGCCAGCACATCCCACTGCCACTCAGGGCGGAACGAACACGGACATCTGATAATGTGTGGGACGGCCCACACTGCAGCAAAGCTGTCCCGCGTGGTGAAGGGCGTTGGAGTGCCCTGCTAGGTGAAGCCTACCCGATACATGTCTACTGCGCCTGCGTATAAGATGTCTGAGCCTGTTATGAAATAATGATAAAAAGAAAGAAAATAATTTAAGACTGTTTCCTAGAAGAAAGCTGGCACAGAATAAAGATGCTGTCACAAACATGGACTTGACTCAACTGTTCCGTTCAGTATCATTTCCTGCTGCAGTTGAAGAGCACATCAAAGATATAACAAGGAGTTGTGAGGCTCTTTTTAATAGATTTGGGTCTCTATAAATGTAGAGATCTTCAAAGTTTTCATTTATAAAATTACCTAAAATATTTCAAAGCTACATTAAAAAAATATGCTATAATAATTATTTTGGTGGTTGCCTATGGTTCATCTTTATTTGATACTGTCCCCAAAAATCTACCATGTAGCTTTTTATTAATCAATTAACTTTTTGTTTCATATTCTTATTTATACTCTTTTTCCATTGCCTGAACAGGTTAAACTCTCCAGTCTTTCCCAGACTGGATGTAGGCTCTGATAACGGGGTCCAGTGAGTTTCAAGATTATATAATTTCTGTTTGCCTCATGACTACCCCATCCCATATGGCACACTGATTTAATTCAATATTAAAAAGTTTTCCTTTTAAAAAAAGTTTTCTTTGAAGGTTATGATATAATCTCACTGTATCCCCTGTCCCTTTCCTCCCTCTAAACCCTCTCATAGACTCCTCCTTTCTCTTTCAAATTCATGGCCTAATTTTTAATTAATTTTTGTTACATGTAATTAAATTTTGTTACATTAATTTACAAAAATTAAATTAATTTTTAATTAATTTTTGTGCACTCCTGCTCATCTATATAATGTTACTTGTATGTCTGTTTTCAGCTCTGACCATTTGGTATTGGAAAGCTTTCCTTGTTTAAATAGTATAATCTCTTTTTACCAGTTCCCCTTTATCAACATATTTGTCTAGAAATCTGTATTGGTTTCCTTAGTTCCTTATAAAAGGGCACAAACTCAAGGTATCAGCAGGTGCCCTTGAAAAGCCCTAGGAGAGGACCTTTCTTGCCTCTTTTCTTGGCTTCTGGATGTAATCAGTAATCCTGGGTATTTCTCTACTTGTGGGAGTGACACAGTTATCTCAGCCTCTGTCATCCCAGGTATTCTCCCTGTGTACCTCTGTCTTTAAAAACAGACATTAGTCATTGGGTTTAGGCCCATTCAACACAGAATGACCTCCTTTTAACTTCATTACATCTTCAAAGAGATCATTTTCAAATCAGGCCATCTTCATTGGCACCTACAATTAGGACTTCCCATATCTTTTGAGGGGACAAAATGTTACCTCAGCTTGAGTTAAATTTCTGTCTTTTTGGTCTTTCACAATTTGATTCAGTATTAGTTTTCATCTGTGCACATGCACACTTTTACCCTCTGACTCTCTTGGATTCCTTATATAATTCCATCTTAATTCAATCATTGGTTACACATTGGCGCAACTGTCTACTTTGTCATTTCCTCACATATAATTATTTTGAAGACTTCACAGTGTGGAATATATACTTTAAAATATATAAATTTTATATACTGGTTTTTTTTTTGGTGTTGGTTTTTGAGACAGGGTTTATCTGTGTAGCCTTGGCTGTCCTGGACTCACTTTATAGACCAGGCTGACTGCAAACGCACAGAGATTCACTTGCCTCTGCCTCCTTGAAGGCACTGGGATTGCAGGCATGTGCCACCATACCCAGCTCAATACGGTTTTATTTTGGTTTTTCTGTATCCATGTTATATTTATAGCAATTGGGTTTATATTTAAAGGATGTATAAGTAGGTTACATTTACAAGTGAAGCAGTTGATAAGAACATGAGTTATTAGATGAAACCATAAAGACAGTTCCTGGAGGGAGCAACTAGAGCAAAAGACATGGAAAGACCCATCCCATCCTATGTGTTTGCGCTTCTTCCTGTCTCTGTATCTCTGAGACAGGGTATAGCTATGTAACCCATGCTGGCCTAGAACTTGTGACCCTCTTGCCTCTGTTTCCCAAGTGCAGGAATTATAGATGTGTGCCACCACCCTCTTTGTTCCTCTACCTTGAGATCTGAATGTGCCTCCAAAACATGGTACAAAATAAGGCTGAAGCCGTTAGCATTGGCTCTCTGGATGGTGAACACGTGGTCTGTGAAGGTCTGACAAAGTGAACGTGAAGAAACTGCACCTCCCTGAAGGCTTTCAGGCTGAGAGAGTGGGCCAAGAGAAGGGCAACAAACAGGTCAGGGGAAAGGAGGATCACCATTTGGCTCCCATAAGCTTGACGCTGCTCACCTGGAGTACAGGTGAGTTAGGCTCGGGTGGTACTGCAGTGCCTTTGGAACTTTCTTCCTGGAGACAAGCTATTCCTAGAGGAGCACATCCTACAAAGAGAGAAGACAAGAGTCATGCATGAGACACTGTTGCCTTGGGAAGTTCCCTTTGTTTAGATTCAGTCTCCCAAATCTTCTGTTTTTAAAACATCTAAGCCAAGACACAGATTTTATGAACTGAGATAAAAGCACTGCAGGTGTTTCTAAGCTTCTGAAGCTTGACTGTTGCTCACGCACAAAGCTAAGCAGGAGGAATAGACTTAGCAGTGTGCTTTACACACATAAGAAATACCAGTTAAAAGTAGAGATAAGAGATAAGGGAAGCTGCTGGTGCATGCTGCATGTGGGCAACAAGTCTACTGTGGTCAATCCTCACACAAACCTGTTCTTCTGGTATAAAATAGACATGCGGTAGACAAAGGGCAAAGGTTAGGAGCCTTACATTTTAGAAGTAGCTCTGAATCTGTTGGCCTTTTAGTTTTCCTAACTATTAACTGAAGGTGTTACATAAGAAGATGTTATAATTCTGGGCTGGCGAGATGGCTCAGTGGTTAAAGGCATCTGCCACCAAGTCTCACGACCTGATTCTGATCCCCAGAATCCACATGGTGGAAGGTGAGAATTGACCCCCACAATTTGTTCTTTGAGCTACCCATACTTGCATACTTGTATGTGCACAAACACTTCCCCCCACCAAAACACACAAGATAAATAAATATTATCATTCCACAGATTGTAACTTTGTATAATTTTGAAAACTGGCTTAGTTATGGGAATGGACAAAAACCACAGAACTGGCTGTTGGTCAAAGCCATAAACTTATAAGCTATAAAAAGAGTAAGTAATTTAGTGGATACTCAGTGAGTAACATGAATAATAAAGTGCATGCTTGAGTATCATATATTATTATTAATATATTGAGACAATGTCTCACTATGTTGCCCAGGCTGGTCTTGATGTCCTGGGCTCCAGTTAGACTTGGTGGTATATGGGTATAAACCCAGCACTTAGGAAGTGAAGGCTGGAGGAGGAAGAGTTCAAGGTCATTTTTGACTACATAGTGAGCTTGAGGCTGACATGGGCTACATGAGACCCTTTCTCAATCTCTGCAATCCCAGCACTGTGGCAAAAAAAGAGTGGGGACATAGCTCAGTTAGTAGAGTGCTTGCCTACCCTGGCTTTGATTCCTGGCACAGTATTAAAAAAGAAGACAAAAGGAGGGACCAGGGAGATGGCTCAGTGAATAAAGATGCTTGCTGCCAAACTCACAGACCTGAACTTGATTCCCAGAACTCACACAGTGGAAGGAGAAAACTGAATCCTGCAAGCTGTCTTCTGATCTTCAGACTCGTGCCATGGCTCCTGTGAGCACACAAATACACATGTACATGGCGGTGTATGTCTTTAATCCCAGAAGTCAGGAGGCAGAGGCAGGTGAGTCTCTAGTTCAAGTCCATCTTGGTCTACATTAGTGAGTTCCAAGGCAGCCACGGTTACATAAGTGAGTCCCTGACTCAAAATACAAAGCAAGCAAACAAACAAAACCCCAAATCCCCTCAACCAAAACAACAACAAACGAGCAACAACACACAAAACAAGTAAATGTAGACAAAAGTTTTAATGTATCTGTGACTTGATTTTAAAAAAGTTTAAAAAAAAAATCCTGAGCTCAAGTAATTTTTTCTTCAGCCTCCTCTGCCTCCTGCATAGCTGGAACTATAGGCATATGTCACTATGACTAATTCCACTCAAAATTTGTTAAGTAAATCTCAAGTATTTTAAGTTTTTAATCAGTTCTATCTATCTGTCTATCTATCTATCTATCTATCTATCTATCTATCTATCTATCTATCTATCTATCGTGTGTGCGTGTGTGTGTGTGTGTGTGTGTGTGTGTGTGTGCACCCACACAGACATGCACATAGAGGTCAGAGGACAACTTGCAAGAGTCGGATCTCTCCTTCCACCATGTGGGTCCTGGAGATCTACCTTAGGTTGTCAGGCTGAGAGGCAAGCATGTTTACCCCTCTGAACCATCTTTCTAGCCCTTCTATACTTTAAATACAACACACACACACACACGCACAAACACACACACACACACAGGACGAATAACTTAATTACTTTATATACAAAAACAAGGAAGAAGGCTTCGAGGCCAGAGACAATCTCCTCTAAGGAGACCATGTGTCTACAGTGGCCTCCTCCCAGGGTCCCTCACCCTCTAGCACTCACCACTCACTTCCTGGGGGAGCTGTGGAGGGTCACATGTCAGGGGAGTGACCCCAGGCTGGAGAAACTGGAGGCTCTGATACGCCAAAGAGGCTCCTTGATAGTCTGTCACCACAAGGCGCATGTCCTGTTCCTGAACATAGAAAGTAGCCTGGAGACAACAGATTCACCGTGGCAAAGTGTCCTGGTGGGAGCCAGTGACTCCCACAAGGGATCATAGAACAAGCTCCATTTACCCCTCCAAAGAATGAGCAAGAACCGACCCAGATTCATCCATCAAATTAGCACTGCAAACTCACTCAGACAGGCTCTTCTCAGTACCTAGGGACTCAGCAATCAAGGCAGGCAAGACAGACAAAGGACCTGTTCCCAGAAACACACAACAACAACATGCCTGAGCTACTGGTAAAAATGTAGTGAGGACTGGAGTCAGTACACTATCTCAAAATGTCCTCTCTAATTTACAAAGTAACTACAAAGGGGAAAAACAATAATTCTCTAGAGAAGAAATCTGACAAGCACCGCCATGACCAGTGTGTAAAGGGCGGAAGCACCCCAGTGTGCTCCCTGAAAGGACTGACAAGAGGACACACTGCCTTCTGTGCCTTCTGTGGCAGCTGTCTAGCAAAACGTATAACCTAGTGATCATGTGCAGACCACAAAAGACATTTCCTTGCTCCTCATAAACACATACCAAGTTCCTGGAGGTAAAGGAACATGTTTGCTATTATCTGTCATCTGGTTGGGGGGAGGGGTGGGTCTACATAAATGTGCCTGCCTATGCACAAAAAAATAAATTGGGCTTGCACAGGAATATGGGGGTAGGTGGGTGCACCATGAAACCAGTGATACCAAAAACTAAATCTGGGTGAAGAGAATACAAGTGTTCTCTACCGTTTTTGTGATCCTTCTCTAAATTACTAATTATTTCAGAACAGGTTAAGCATTAGCAGACACACACTCCTCGCCCTACTGTTCCTCCCACATTAGCGCATTCCTTCCGTTCCCACCTGCTGCCCCGTGTCTCCATGTCCCGAGGCGAAATTCTCCAGCAGTGCTGCTGCCTCATCACCGCTCCGCAGAGGATACATCTGCACCCAGGCCTGCAGCTCCCCTGGCAGGATGGTCAGGAACTGCTCCAGCACCAGCAGCTCCAGGATCTGCTCCTTGCTGTGGGTCTCTGGCCTCAGCCATTGACGGCAAAGTTCCCGAAGCTGGGCCAGAGCTTCGCAGGGACTGGGAGCCTCCTGGTAACAGAACTGCCGAAATTGCTGGCGGTAAAATTCCTGAGTGTGAGTCCTATCCTCCTCTGAGTTGCCTGGCTGCTCCAAGGCAGGATCTTCCACCTTCACTGTCACAAGGCTGCCTTCCTTCTCAGGGGCGGAACCCGGCAAAACTTCATACATGTTGAACTTAGAAGCTGCAGAGAGGTTCGTCTGGCTGAAGTCTATGCTTCAGAAATGTATTTCTAAATAAATATCTACAGTACAAAAATTGAACAGAAAATTAAAAGTAAAAAAGATATTGAACAGAAATTTAAAGTAAAGTTTAAATCTCATGAAACAATTTTATTTGTGTCTCCACTATGCTGTGCTCAAAGGCTAACCCTGTGCATCCAAATCATATCCTGAACACTAAAGGAATTGATCCCAGAGGTAGGGGATATACCATGAGAGAAGAAAGGCAAACAATAAGAATGACAGCTCAGGCATGGTGGTGCATGGCTGAAATCCAAGCATGATGCAGTAACAGAAGCTAGTGTGGCCTGCATCGCAGTCCATTACTGCCATGACACCACCCCATCCCCCCCTCAGTTTCAAAAACGTCTCCCTGGTCTAACTTCAAACTCCAGAATATAATCTCATTTGCGTTTTACCTTTAATTTACCACCAAGTGTATTAAACACCTAATTATTTTCTACGTGTAAAGTTAATCCTGGAATAAAAAAAAAGTTCCCACCTACAAGGAAAACACGGTCTTCCCAATTCCTCATTTACCACGCTGACATTTTTCCTCCCCACTTTGTACTAGTTCATCCTTCCAATGTAAAGTCCCATGACAGGTGACCTGCTCTGTATGTGCATAATCTTCCATGGCCACCCTCAAACCTTATATACAGACGGGGAAACTGAGCCACACAGGTGGCGGCGGGATGTGCACCGCTAGATGCATGCACTCCGTTCTTCAGCTTCTATGACAGACCACAGCACAGCCATCCCTGCCCCTGGCAGACCGCTAAGTAACCTCTAGAAACGCGGCACGTACCTGGTACCCAACAAAGACCGGTAGACTTCCTGACGGATGTAATAGATGTACCTGAGGTGCATTAACCAGGGCTCAGGCGTGCCCAGAATACAAGCTAAGACTGTATGCCAGCGCCTGGCGCACGGTAGCTAAGCGTGTCTATTCGCTGCTTAAAAGTTTAGGGAATGTGTGCAACAAGGATGCGCGGAAGCTCAGGAAAGGCTGCTACCGGAGGCCAGTGTCACAGCCTAGAGGCGCTTGCTGTCGGTCCCCGAGCCCGCTGAGCTCGGTGGGAAGGGGTGAGGGACAGGGCCACTTCCTGCAGACGGAGCCGAGCGCCGAGGGGCACTTCCTGTAGACGGAGCTGGAGATCCAGGGGCTACTTCCGGCTACCACAGGGTGCCTTTGGAGCGCGGTCCCGGTCTCTGGTTGCCCTGGTGGGGCCAGGTCGTGGTTTTCCCGCCTGGCACCACCTCCCGTGATGGTTCCGAAGAGCCCCAACACGCGCACATTTACATAAATAATTTCAAGGAAAACCTGTGAGATGTACCTGACGGAGAGCTCTTGCTTGGCATACTTTATGGGTTCGGTCCCCTAGACAAAGCCAAGTCGGCCTTTACAGGCCTTGCGTGTAGTCAGATGAGTAAATACGCACAAGGCCACAAGCCAACTAAGGATACAGATTTTCTATGCGTGCGAAACCCACTTAGCGTGAATTAGCTATATGTACATTTATTTCCTATGTGTGTGTTTGAATGCGCGTTAGTGTGTAGGCCAGAGAACAAACTGGAGCCGGTTCTCTCTTGCTATGAGGGTTTGAACTAGGGCCCTTACTTGTGGGCCTATCCCCACAGGCCCCCTACACGCTTTGTAAATTCTCAGGACATCCCCTGGTGCGTTTTGTTCAGTGAGCTTTTGAAGCACTTATGGAAATCACAATATAATTTTGCGCTTCTTTTCTAAGACAGGGTAGATTTTTTTTCCACAGCAGCTTTCAAAAAAAAAAAAGTTCTGCATGTTTGTGAGCATGCGCACGAGCATGTGGGTGCAGAGGCCGGAAGTCGATGCCCAGATGCACTATTACTCTCCATATTATTTTTTAGACACGGTCTCCCACTGAATCTGGAGCTCACTGGCTGGCCAGCAAGCCCTCTCTTTATGAGCCCTCCATGGGGATCATATCTCTGTCCTACCATCTCTACCTTTTTACATGGGTGATGGGAATCTGAACCCGGGTGCGCTTGCTTGTGTCACTGGCATTTCACTTGAGCCTGTCCCAGCCCCATAAACCTTGGTTTATAAACACCCCAACAATGGTATCCCATTGTATAGGTTACAATAATTTACTTAAGATCAACAATGCAGGCTTAGGTTATAGTCTTTATAAGCAATACCATAGAAAACACCATTCAAGAACGATGTTCTTTTTTGAAGTTTTAATTTTATTCAAAAATTACTCCGAAACTTTATAACTCTTACAGTTTACAATACTGTCAACATAACTATTTCCGTAAGAAAGTATTCTCTTTACACATCAATAATTATTTTTATGCTGCTTTAAATATATTTGTTGGGTAAATACCACACACACAAATTGACAAAAAAAAATAATGTGCATTTAAAATTTAGATAGTTCTCTAATGTTTAAGGGCCATGCACTCTAATGTTTAGGATTAAAAGGTGTTAATAGAAAGGCCGGGAAAAAAACATCACTCTCAAACAACCAGTGATGATTAATCAACACAAAGAGGATGTTCAACGGTAGAAATACAAAGCATGTTCTAAAGCAGCCTCCATTTACTGAAGGACAGCTAGCTTTCTTCTGAGGTTTAGGAATTAATTACAAGTGATATAACTGCCTACATGCGGGTTTTTGTATGGACATATCAAGGAGATTGATCCTATGCTACAGTTATTTGGGTGGTGCTGGGGGCCTAACCATCACCCATGCCATCAGTTCTTAAGGCCACACGACTGCTGAAGTTGCAACTATAACATGCAAAGTATGGGCAAAAGGTCAAAAAGAGGTTCTTTCTGGTCCAGTCAGCCCCCTTGAGCAGCTTTCCCCAAATTTACTTAGTGAGTATATCTTAGGCCAAAACTTAGACAAAGGAAGCAGGAGAGGGTCTTGTTTTGTGCAGAACTAAAAATCTGGCTTAAAAGGGATGAAAGGTAAGATTAATATCAGAATTGCACCTAGTAGTCGTTGGCCTGTTCCTTCCTTATATCTGACTGGCAGCATGCTGACCAGAGTTAGACTTAGTGATGCCCTCGGTCAGTCTTGGACGGACTCCAGCCTTCTCTAGTGGATAAGAAAAAAATAAACTTTTATAAGTTGCTATTTACTTGTAAGCCAAGTGGAGTGAAACCAAGTTGTAATCATCACAAGAGTCTCCGCTCATCTTTCCAGAGAGGCGGAAGTTAGACCCCTTTCTTGGAGAACCACTACCATAAGCAGTAGTTACTGACGGGCTTGGGAACAGCCCTCCACGCTGACTTCTCATCACTAGCAAGACAGTCAACATGACATGATGACCACAATCACCTCTCCAAGCAGATTCTAATGGTCAAAATTATTCCAAAATAAGTATCATTTCAAATTTGCATCATTGGTATCAAAGGGAAAAAGCCATTTCCCCCCCTGAGACATTCATTAAAGAGTGTTTTTCCAGCAGTCACTGTACTGGCACGGGAGCTGCCCACTGCTACTGCTTGGAATACTTCAACACAGTTCATCCAAACCACTCATAAAGTCTCCTGCATAGTTTAAAACTTTGATTTATAACTTGAAGCTATACTAACACTGTGGTTAAAAGGGGTAGGAAATATCAAACGACATGAGCTCATCCTGACAGCAAAAACTAACTTTGCTTTCAAAAATGCATTCATTGATCATACATGGGTAAAGCCACATGAAGCCAGTATGTGAATTCAACAGGGAAAATGTTCAGTTAATCTATGTTACACTCTCAGAATATATTCTCGGAGAATATAGTCATAGGTTAGCTGAACATAATTTCAAGCATTATTAGATTTATTTTGGGCTTATATCTTTTTAAAAATAGTTTATGTGGAACATTTGTGTACAGAAGCCTGAGCAGCCAGAAGAGGGAATCCGAGGCCCTGGAACTGGAGTTGCGGGTGGTTGCGAGCTGCTATGTAGGTGCTAGGAACAGAAAAGGGAGGCGTCCTTTGCGAGAGCAGACCATGCCAGCTCCTTGGGACTGCTCTTCATGTGTATGGTGCTTACATGTATGGGTGCACATGTGCATGGGTGCCGGTGTATTGGTAGTAACATCAGGAGCCTTCCTTGATCACTCCACCGATCGCTTTCCAAACTCTCCTACCTGAATCCTGTTTGCTGATACGGCTGCTCTGGCTGGCCAGCTTGCTCCGAGGATCCCATGTCTGTCTCCTGAGGGGCGGGGCCACAGGGAGGCTACTACATCTATTTGACTTCTGCATGAGTGTTGGGGATCCCAAACATTGTCTTTACACTTGCATAGCAACTGGTTTAACAACTAAGCCATCTTCCCAACCCTTATTAATTTTATTTTATAGGAGCCTGTTGCTATAGTACTTGCAAAAATATCAGCTGATTCTCATTGTATAAATCTATAGGCACTTGGCTTGCTGATTTAAAAGTTTTCATTCATATATGAGGCTTAAGAGACAAATAATCAAGTACGTATCACATTAAAAGCTCTGAGAAGTCCTGTAATGAATAGTTGTTTCACTCTGATCCCACTATCTAGGGTGAAACTCTTATAGTCTAATTATGGCTTTATGTAAAACAAAGAGGGAAACAATGGAGGCAAATGGATTCCAATTTGGCTTCCAAGAATGATGATGCCACTGTGACTTTTTAAAAAGCTTTGTTTGCTTGTCAACGTAACATTCTACTATCTCAAATAGAGGACGTCATCAAGCCAGTTTGCTCTTGTGGTGATGTCTCTGATGCTGAAAGAGCCCTGACTTCTGCCTGAAGGCTTCTTTGCATTCACTACATTGATACGGTTTTTCTTCATTGTGGATTCTCACGTGCTGATCCAGGTGGGAGTTTAGACGGAAAGCTTTCTGACATACTGTACATTTGAATGGTTTTTCTCCAGTGTGAATCCTGTGATGTCGAATAAGGTCAGAAGTCAAACTGAAGGCTTTCCCACACTCGTTACAGTGATGTCTTTTGGATCGACCATGGACTCTCTGATGGTGGGTGAGGAGGAGAGCTTTGCTAAAGGTTTTTCCACACTCCTTGCATTCACGGGGCTCCTCCTGACTGTGAATTTTTTGGTGTCGATTAAGATGAGAGCTGCGCCTAAAATTCTTTCCACAATGGATACACAGATAGGGTCTTTCTCCAGTATGGATTCGGAGATGTTCCAAAAGACCTGCATTCTGGCTAAAGACTTTTCCACACTCTTTGCACTGGTAAGGCTTCTCACCAAGATGGATTTTCTGATGTCTGATGAGGTGTGAACTCCTCTGAAAGACTTTCCCACACTCCTGGCAGAGGTGACCTTTCTCTTTAGAGAGGATTTCCTGGGGTTCAGTAGGAACAGAACTCTGACACCCTACAGATTCACTAGGCTTTTCTCTTGCATGTGCCCCTTCATGTTCAGTTAGGTCTGAGTTTTGGACAAGTCCCTCCTTAGTTACCAAGCATTGGCTGCTAGTTTTTTCCTTGGGTATGGCTGGCTGCTTTACCAAGCGCAAGTCCACACACTGGGCCTCAATGGGTTCAGACGTTGTGTAAGATGATTCCATTCTTCCATAAGAGTCAGTCCCTGCAACAAACTTTCCATTTTCAATCCTTGCCTCCTCACCTGAAACATTAAATATATATACATATGTATCACTAATTATTTCATTTTTGGTGTTCAGGGAAAGGAATCTGCAAATAGGAGGAAAGTTTTGAATTAAGCCATGTGTACAAATTAAAAAGAATTAAGAGAACAACTTTTTAGATGTATGAGTGTTTCACCTGCCTGTACGCATATGCACCCCATCCAAGTAGTGTCCACGGATACCTCAGAGGGGACCTAGTTCCCTGGAACTGGAGCTACAGAATGCTGTGAGCTGCAATATGGCTGCTGGGAACTTAAACCAGATCCCCTGCAAAAACCAGTGCTCTTAACAGCTGAGACATCTTTTCAGCCCTCACAAATTACAACAAAACACCCAAAAAGTTTGTTATGATTATATATATATATATATACATGAAGTGATTTACAAGAAATTAAGGTTTGGGTTTTTTTTTGTTTTGTTTTTGAGATAGGATTTCTTTGTGTAACAGAGTCCTGGACTCTCTTTGTAGAGCAGGCTGGCCTTAAACTTACAGAGATCTACCTGCCTCCACCTCCTAAGTGCTGGTATCACAGGCATGCGCCACAATGCTCAGCTTTTTTCTTTTTTCTTTTTTTTTGAGATAAGGTTTTAATATGCAGAATAACCTGGCCTGACCTAAACCTGGAAGCAGTTCCCTTGCCTCAGCACCTCAAGTCCCAAGATTACAGTCGTGTGCCAGCATATCCAGCTTGACATCCAAGAAATCGTTAAACATGTTGGCTTTGGGGAAGGATAGGGGTTGTGATGATTTATTTTAAATGTCCTCAATTTTATTATGTGATATATGTCACACACACAGAAGCTACTATGCATGACTGTATATTCTTGATTGATTTGTCACATAGGGAGCAAAAATCACTATAAAACTGGGTCACCTGAGGCCCATCAGATTAAAGAGGGGTGATGGTACTTTGAAAAATGAAGATGTGTTGTCATAGTGCTGATTGTATCACTGAGTAATATGTAATCTCAGAAAATAGTTTGTCCTTATTGATAAATCAACTGCACCAGGACCATAAAGCCTTGAGAATAATGCATTCACAAAACATCATGTTGAAATATGAAGTGTCCCCCTCCAAGAGAGGAACAGCAGTTTCCTTAACCTATCCAAACGCTGCAAGTTTTTCTAATACTGTACAAGGAAGGAGACAGCAGAGGCATGCAAAAGTAACTGTTATTGGCCTGTTTCAGCTGTTGTCTAGTTACTGTCCCCTTCAGCTAACCTCGGCCTAGCCCTGGAAGCTTTTAGTCTTCACATAAACTAATCTAGGCCTGGAAAGTTTTCAGCCTCTGAAACTTATGGCTTAATAAGCTCACTCTTTCTTGTTCTTACTGAGCTCCGGGCTGGCTGGTTCAACCCAGCTGTTCTGACTTAAACTCCTCTCCCAGCTGACTTATTCAATCTGTTACCTCCCCTCCCCCTGGCCTCGAATTGCTCTGCTTGGGCTCAAGCTAACTCAAGAATCTGCTCTAATCTACTGGTTCCTCATTCTCTTGCTCATTCAGTCTTCATCTATGTTCTCTCTCTGCAAGCTGTCCCTCTATTACTGTCCTAGTAAAACTGCTTCTTCTCTCTCATTGCCTCTTTTCTTTCTTTTTTTTTTTTTTAATACAGCATTGTGCCTGCACACCATATCTCACTCTAGATGGTTATGAGCCATCATGTGGTTGCTGTGAATTGAACTCAAGACCTTTGGCAGAACAGCGAGTGTCTTAACCTCTGAGCCATCTCTCCAGCCCCTCTCATTGCCTCTTAAGTAGCTCTCCTTTCATCTCTCTTCTTTTGTGAATTGGCCATATCCTATTCTGTGAAACCTTTCTCTGATTTGCCGCATTTTCTGCCGCTCAGGTAGACATCACTTTCAAACATGGGTAGCTCCTTCTACAAACTATCTTTACCTTCAATGTTTGGGATTAAAGACCTGTACCACCATGCCTGGATCTAAGCTTTTCTTTACTTGAAACTGGCTCTATACCAGGCTGGTCTTGAACTCAGATCTGCTTAGTTCTGTCTCCTGGATTAAAGGTGTGTTTGTATTCCAGCTGGATCACAGACCTACAAGATCTATGCATGTGACCTCTTGCCAGAACAGCCATGTTTGGAATTAAAAATTCTTCTACAGAGGTCAGTTTTGGAAAGAACACCCAGTCATTAGCAGATTTGCTTACTCAAGGTCAAGAGCTGAAACAGATCAGGGCAAAAAACAAAACCTGACCCTTTAACTATGGAAAGAGAAAAAGAAGCCAGAAACTGTAAGATAACAAAACATGAGAGCACAGATGGGGAAAGTGACCCAGATTCAGAGGAAGGATAAAGGGGGTGAGTAGGGGAGCTGGGGAAGCAGGAAAACCAGAAGGAGGAATGAAATGGGGCATGATAGAAGGGCCTACACTTGGGAAGCACAGGACAACTTGTTATTAAACTTGGGAGGGAGAGGGGGTTCTCTTTCTTCTTTCCTCCCAAAGTGGCCACAGTGTTTCACATGTGAAAAAATAGAATAGTATTAACCAGTTAACTCAGGGTTTTAAGTCAGAGGAAACATTAGTACATTTGTATTTAAATAACAGAAGGTAAGTAACTTAATGGAAGTATCAAGAAGCTTGTCTACACAGTTGTGGTTGAAATCAGCAAGGGCTACATAGGAAGACTCTGTTTCAAGAAAAGAAAAAGACACTAAATGTAAGAAATAGGGCAGTAACATAGGAGAGCCAAAGAGACTGATCTGAACTCTCCCACCCCCATCACTGCCACTTATGGTGATTTGAAGGAGACAGAGAATGAATAAGGGACTCACGTCTGAGATTCTTTCCTTAGGTAGGAGCAGCAGGTAGGTCTAGATCCACTTGGTGTGCTGTTCATTTAAGTTGTTGAGAGTGGTTGATCTTTCAGATCTTGACTGTGCTACTGACTAAGCCTACTGTATATGCAAAAAACCGCACTGACTAGTGAGGCTACAGTGTAGGCTGTATATATAAATTATGTGGCAACAGACCTAACAAAACCAAGAAAATGCCAAGGGTGCCATAACTCAAATGCAAAAGGATGCTAATTAGTTCTTACCCGTCTCCTCGGGCATCTGGACCTCATGCTCAGACAGGACCAGCTGCTCCTGTGCTTCTCTGTGAGAAGCTATCTCTCCAACCAGCACAGTCTGTCTGGTTCTTTGGGCTGAGTCCTAGAGATAAGAACAGATAATTAGGGAACTGGTTTACAAAAAAACCACTTCAGTGTTAGAAAAGAGAACGAAGAGAAACTTTAAAGAGGCTAAGAAAAGAGGCAGAAGACTGGAGAGCCTCCTCACAGCAGGGGATGGCAAGGGTGAGGTGAGGCTGAAACTGACCAGCAGTGAGCCCCTCCCACTGCTGATGTCCACCTTGGCGACCTCGGGGCTCACTTCTTACTTTCCTGCAAATGGGCACCTGTACCCTTACCTTCTGCTGTCCTGCTTCTCCACGGTGCAGCTGCAAATCTTCCAGTATTCCCACCAGCTCCTCCCCAGTCTCTGGGTGGTGCTCGAGCACCTGGACCAGCAGATCTCCTGGCAGGATGGTCAGGAACTGCTCCAGCACCAGCAGCTCCAGGATCTGCTCCTTGCTGTGGGTCTCAGGCCGCAGCCACTGTCTGCAGAGCTCCCTGAGTCGGCGTAAAACCTCTCGAGGTCCAGTGCTTTCCTCATAGCGCAGCTGCCTGAACTGTTTGCACAATGGCTCCTGCACAAGGCCATTTCTTTTTCCTTGAACTTTGAATCCCTGTTCCCAAGTACAGTAGTTTTAACAGTGGCTTAAAGCAGTCTTGGATCTCTAACTATAACTCCTTTGCTACCTTAAACTTGAGTCTCCTTTCTACTCAACTCTGCACATATACCCTACGCATTTGAGAAATGTCTCTCTGAAAACTGGCAATCAAAGCTTGACAGTTTGCCTAGCCTTGGTAGTAGCCCCACTCCTCACTACATAGTTCTAGCTGGCCTGGAATTTGGAATATAGACCAGGCTGGCCTCACAGAGATCTACCTGCCACTGAGTGCTGGGATTAAAGTCCTACACCACCACACACAACTTCTAGCCCCTTTTAAGACTAATGTCACCAAGAAAAGAATAACTAAGTTATTCTCAAGACACCAAGAACTCTGTAGACAGATCAACCATGATGTGATCAACAGGCACCAGCATTAAATAATGACTGGCTAGTTTGTCCAAGACAGACTGACTGACTGACTGACTGAAAAGAACTGTTATGTGCTCCTCTTCCTCACAGCTTTTGTACCTTCCCCTGTTTAATCCTGAAGTCCTTGCCAGGGCCCTGAAGACAGGGCTCAGGACAGTCTTCCTGTTTCTTCCCAACATGGATTCCTATCATATTTCACCACCACTCATCTCTCTCATTGGACTGAGTGACAAGTCACTAAATTTCATCTGCTAGGGCCCCCATGGTCAGACCTCCGATTCCATGAACAGTAGTGATTTTCTCATTACCTGAAGCTCCTCCTTCAGATTCAGGGGAGCGAAAGAGTATGCACGATTGTGAGGGTGGATCTGGGAAGAGGTATGCGTGGGAACAGAAAATGATCAGAACATGTTGTTGAAACTCTCAAAGAACTTTAAAAAAATAAAATAAAAATAAAAAACCCATGAATACACACTCACCAAGGCCAGTGCCATATCTTGCTTCAGGCACGTTGTCTTGGAGAACTTTCTTTTGACTGTAGCCTGAGGGACACTCCTAAAAGCGTAAGTCACAGAAACAGCACTGCTAATAGTGAGAACAGCCACAAATGACCTTTCCTTAGGGTTGTTTCCTTCTATTCATTTGTTTTCTCCAAAACAGCTGTTCCTAAATATATATAAACAAAGTGAGAAAATGTTGCCACCCAATCTAGAAATAGTAATAGATCTGAAAAATTACCATTTTAAAACTCTCAAATGATTCAGTTGAGAACCACAAATGAATGCTAAAACCACTGGGTGCCAAGAGGGAAGGACAGAATCTTCCCCATGCTAACCACCGCCTGTGTAGTAATAAAGAGAAGATAAATGTGTCTGGCAGTTGCAAATGTAACCAAATGATCAAATGTAGCAGCAATACATTTCATCAATAGTAAGACACCAATGCCCAGTAACCTATTACTTGTGGGACACTTTTAATAAATATTATTTATCATGAATTTACTAAAGAAATTTTCTGAGAAACCCAAAACTCAGTCCATCTACAACAGGCATGGATCCAATTTTCCCAAAGCAAAAAGCAGATGCTGGGATGTTACTGTTCTAGATTAAGGAGACACAAGTAAGTCTACAGTGTGAAATCTGGTACTCCATTAAGAACAAAACATTTAAAGCCAGGCATGGTATAACTTTATGAGGCCATCCTAATATATTTAAAAGCCACTGCTAGTGTTTTCTTGTATGTGGTCTTGCTTTGTTATTCAATGAAGCATTGTATGCCTGAGCTGAAACAACCCTTGCATTCCAACCTCTCAAGTAGCTAGCATGTAAGTGGCATGACATATTAATAGAGGCTTTAAAAAGTCCAAGAAAGTGATGATTATTGGGCAGAAAATATTAGGTTGGTATTGTGGTGGTTAGTTTAAATGCCACTTCTGGGCACAGGGTATGAAGATATTTCATCAAACATTATTTTGGATGTTTCTGTATTTTTGGATGAGATTTAATATTTAAATTAATAGACTATAGACTGAGAAAAAACAGATTATCCTTCATAATGTAGTAGGCCTAGCCAGATCAGCTGAAGGTCTGAGAACAAAAGGACACACCCTCCCCCAAGTAAGAGAATAAGACTTCCTCTCTAGCAGCTTTCAAGTCAGACATCACTGTTTTCCTTCTGCCTTCGGCTCTGAACTGAGAATTCAGTTACTCTGGGTTCTAAGTCTCTTGCCTTCAGACTTGAACTAAATAATAAGCTTTTGTGGTTCATAGGTCTTTGGCTTGTACTAGAATGAAATTATTTGCGGTTTTGTTTTTAGCTTGCTAGTTCCGCCCTGAAGATCTTAGGTGCCACAATCACGAGGCAATCCTTAGAATAACTCTTTGACTTTTTTCCTATTCTTTTGAAAATTAGCACTTATTAACTGTGCACATCCATTATGACGTGTCACACACACATATTCTGATCAGTTACCACCTCCACTCCCAATGAGCCTCCTCCCAAACAATCCTTTCAACTCTCATGCTTTTATTTTAATAAATCTTTTTTGACATCTACTGACCAAAATCAATACAAACATTTGTCCTATTTCTCTACACAAGTCTAATAAAGGGGCCGAGAAGATGACTTGTGGTTAAGAGGACAGCCTGCTCTTTCAGAGAATACAACCCTTGCTCTGGGCTCACAATACTAGTCACCACAGCCCCAGGAGATCTGAACACCTTTCAGGCATGCAAGGATAACTGTACTCAGCGCAAATACCTGCATTTACAGAGAGAATTTAAAAAACAAAACAGAACAGAACTCTTTTTAAAGGCAGTAAGAACTCTGATACAGGCATAAGGAATTAGTGGTGACTCAGGTCTATGATGCCAACCCAGTACACAGTAGCTTAATATCTTTGGGAGGAGCTCTAGCTACCATGACATTGTATGTATATAATTAATCAAGTTCTTTTTAAAAATATGTGGCCAGGTGGTGGTGATGCACGCCTTTAATCCCAGCACAGGTGAGGCAGGGGCAGGCGGATCTCTGTGAGTTCAAGGCCAGCCTAGTTTACAGAGTTCCAGGACAGCTATGACTACATAAAGTGTCTTGTAAAACCAAATAAATGAATGAATGAATGAATGATAATGTGTGTGGGTATTCTGCCTGCATGTCTGTCTCTGTCTGTGCATGGCATGCCTGAAGAGTGACACAAGAGGATGTAGGTCTCTTGAAACTGGAGTTACCAGTGTTGGAGCTGCCATGTGGGTGTTGGCATTTGAATGGGGTCTTCTAGAAGACTGGCTAGTGCTCTTACTGCTGGGCTATCTCTCTAACAGCCCCGAGTTCCTTTGTTTCTACAGCTTCATATCCCTCCAATACACTCTTCTTGAATTTTCTTGATGACACGGTCTCCTACTCAGAATACTTGAACTCAGTGGTTCTCAATCTTTCAGAGGCGACCCCTTTGGCAAAACTGTATCTCCAAAAAAATTGTATTTACGCTACAATTCATAACAGTAGCAGAATTACAGTTACGAAGAAGCCATGAAATAATTTTATGGTTGGGGGCCACCACAATATAAGAAACTGTATTACAGGTCCCAGCATTAGGGAGGTTGAAAACCACTGCTCTAACTGGTCTTCCCGACACCAACCTATTTCCCACACTGCACTTGTGATCATCCTAAGAAGGAAATGAGGCACATCTCTGTTGTGCCTGTTGGGCAAGACTCACCATCACTATTAGGGACAAGCTTAACACATCTAATATGGTCTAAATTTTTCTTATGCTTTAACAACCAAACCTGTAATACTTTGCTCTTGGTTCCTTACGTGGAAAACCCCTCAGCAGTTTTAATTCTTCTTAGTGATCAGTCATAGCTCAGGTCTCAGCACAAGCCAAAAGAGTTGCCCCACCTGTGCTTCGCTTGCTAATTCAGTCTCTGCAGAGACCTATTAAGAATTTATACCCTTATCCTACATACGAAGGATATGTATGTATGTATGTATGTATTGACGTGGAGAGTTGAAGGTTTTGGGAATTTACGTAGTTCTCAAAGCTGATCTTCAGTTTTTTTTTTTTGGGGGGGGTGGGTGGGCGACAGTTCGAGACAGGGTTTCTCTGTGTAGACCTGGCTGTCCTGAAACTCACTCTGTAGATCTGCCTGCCTCTACCTTCCTCCTGAATGCTGGGATTAAAGGCATGCGCCACCACGACCGGACAAACCAGATCTTTTGTTATTATTATTATTTTAATCCACAGACCCCAAATTTTTAATTTGTTTTCCCCTTCCCTTTTGCTTGTGTGCATCGGAGCCAGAAGCGAACGCTGTGGGCTCCACCTAGCCACAACTATCACAATCAGTCTTCACTTTCCGCCAGAAATCCTGCCAGTTTTTCTTTCTCCCAAGGGTCTCATTCTGTAGCCACTAACGGCAATCCTCCTGCCTCGGTTTCCCAAGAGCTAGATTTATAGAAAGTAGCCACCACGTTCAGATGCAGGTTTTTAATTACATCCAACTTTGAATTATTCTTGATTTCATTCTGCCCATTTCATAATACTCCCATTATGAATTTCCAATTGCAAGTGCTTTAAAACGTCAGATTATGTATTTCAACCTAAGACCAAGTTCCTCACACACACACAAATGCCCACCTTGTCCACACACTTATTCTGGCAATCTCACTCACTGCGCACGACGCGAAACACCGTGGTGACGTTATTCCCTAAATAAGACAGACAAGCTCCAGCTTTAGCTCTGTATTCGCTGTTCTCTCACGAATGCCTCTTAAAGCCCCCTTCGTCTACCCATCGTCTTCGGATTTCCTATTTACTTACAGTGGAAACTGATTAAACATGCAACAGAAGCCGTGTGTGGTAGCGCCAGCCTACGAGCTCAGAGCTTGGAGGTGGAAGAAGGAGAAACTGGACTTCAAATCCGTGGTATCCTCCGCCAAAAGAGTGAGGCCAATACGGGCTTCATGAAACGAGCCCCTCCCCCCCACCCCCCCCAAAAAAATCCACAACAAATTAAAACCAACAGAACGCAGGCCCACGTCCGCAGTCTCAGCATCGGGATGCTAAAGCAGGAGGCCAGTCAGGAGTTTGAGCTCAGCCTGAGCCACACAGTGCGGTCCAGGATTAGCTTGCGCAACACCATAAAAGTGCCTCAACAACTACGTCCTCCGCTTTGTCCCTCTCCCGTGCCCAAGAGCAGCAGCCCCGCACCCGCTTCGGGTCCTCCCAGCCCCGAGGTGTAGAACGCGTCTGTATACCTGCCGGACACGGTGCTCAGAGGTGCAAGGGTTGCGGTTCTTACTCCGCTGGAACACGATCGCCCCACGTCCTCTCGCCCCGGCCGCAGGGTCAGTCACGTGTCTCTCAATGTCGGCGTTCCAGCCCAGTAGCTTCCGGCTCCACTCTAGGACGGTGGGAGGACCACGACTCCACTCAGTGGTGTGTTGGCTGCGTCTAAGCTGAAACATTTTGTTTACATAAAACAGACCCTTTTATTTGACTGTTTTCACACACGGCCGTCATGTCAATCAGTAGAATTACAAAGCTCGCCCTGTAACTACAGACACCAACAGGGGCAGGAACTGAATCTAAGTGGGACTTTAGCTAAAAGCTGGCGTGAAGTTCCAAAGACTCCTATCTGTGCCTCCCCCTTGTTTGCAGCCAACAGCGCTTAGTCTGATTAATATCCGGTGGTATCAAAAGTGAGTTCTGCAGTACCTTAGGCCAGTGGGGTGTAAGCTCAGTACAAACGCGGCATTAAGATGGTTTGTGTGCAGATTAACCCAGAACAAACAGATCGTTACTAGGCTTTAAGTGCACAGTACTTCGTATACTGTCTAATACAAAGTCCCCTACTATCCTCACCTCCCCTGTCATTCCCCACTGTTATCCATTGACTTTAATGAACAGGCTATTTATTATGATCCAATCATCTGAGTGAGAACTCCAGAAAGGCCTCCAACTCGTTCATGAACCCGTACCTGAGAAGACTTTTGCATGCTTGGAATTCCCATGGCATGAACAGATGTCAAATCCCCTTTTAAAGCTTCAAAAACCCATAAATATATTCCTGGGTCCATTCAGAACTTCCTAAAAGGGCTTAGCCGTGAAATCAAAATTTGAGGTCAAATTCTACAGTAGTCCGTCATACCTAGGAATATTTTCAGTTCCCTGAGAATTACAATGCTTTTTTTCCATTTGTCTAATTGTCCGTTACTGGTTTCCAAGCAGGCTTCCCTTTCTAGGTTGGAAGAGTGAAACCAATATTTCTTAGTCTGCTGACAGATTTTAGCCTTGCAGGCTAACAGTCCTAGTAAATGGCTTAAAGTCTCCTACTTTCCAGTTATCAGAAAATGTTGGGAGACACTGGTCTGCTTTGATATTTAGATCTCAGCAGAAAGACTGCTTTCATCCTGGCCTTCACTGGAGTCAGTGATAAACTACCAACTCCTTTTGTTTGAGACAGCAGGTGGGATGTCTTGTCAAAGTCACACCTTTTGCTTGACTTCCTTGTGAATTCACTCTTTGTGCTGAGGTGCTTTTGCTCTGACTTAAAAGGAGTCTGGAATAAAGCAAGCTTCCGATAGGGCCTCTCAGAAAGGTCCCATGTGTTGTGTGTTGGTTTATTAATTTCGATCCTCACTCCCGACTTAAGAACTGTTCAATTCTGCCGGCGGGCTCCAACAAGAAAGTCACTGATATTCTGCTGTAACACATCCCCTTTCAATGTTAGAGCTTTTAAATCTTAACCCAGAGAGATGGTCCAGAGGTTAAGAGCCCTTGCTGTTCTTCTAGAGGACCCAGTTCACAACAGTTTGGTCCTCAGCTTACAACAGGCTGTAATTCCAGCTGGAGGGGATACAGTGGTTCTTCTGACCTCCTGTGGTCACACACACACACACACACACACACACACACACACTTACACACTTTAGAAAGAAAACTGGCACATCTTGATCCATCATCTCTCCAAAGATCATTGAATTCTAAATTGTAAATCCCACCCTCAGGTCACCTAATCTCCAAGTTCTAGCAGCTGTAGAGTTTAGAGTTGTAAACTGTTAAGTCGGGTTCCTGCCACTCAAAGATCAGAAGTATCCTTCAAGTCTAATAATAAAAACCTGAGCAGTCTCAGGGAATGCGGTTCACCAGACTGCACTGGCCAAGTGCACAGCTTACAAAATATCATGAATTGCCTGCAGGTCTTATATAAATGCACTCGTGAGAGTAGAGCTTCTCTATTAGAAACACTACCGGCTGTATTGCTGATAAGTCCTGGTTCAAAAAGAAACCTAATAAATCCTTTCAATAAAATTTGAATTACCAGACAGATTCCTTTTCTTTCCCGTTGAGCCTTAGTTAGCAACTCAGATGCCCAGAACTCGGGATTTATTCCAGTTGGGACCTCACCAGGCCATACCTAGCAGACCCTTCTTTCAAAATGAATTACTAGGTATGCTCTAAGAGCAGTGGTTCCTAAGCTGTGGGTTGTGACTGAGAGATCAAAAGATAAATTAGCAGCTATTATTAAGACCTGAAGTAGGTACGGAAAGAAGTCTAGTAATGCCCTGTGGGGAAGAGGCACCTCACTGCATTCTTTCCCCACCCACTAGAGATACAGTTGCTAGGAAACTGGACCATCCCCCTAGGGAGGGACACCAGGTCATTAGGGTCTGGGAACCTTTCTATAGCCAATCGATTCAAAATGTAGCATCTTGACCAATAGATGCTTGCCAGGCAGGAATCGCTCCTGCCTTGGGCATGCTGGGATGGACCAGAATCTTTAAATCACCCAACTAACCTGGGCACGGTGCGCTCGGCTCCCACCACTTCGGCAGTGGGGCTGTGTAGGCCCAAGCTGCAGCTTGTAATTTACAATAAAAAGAACCTCATGTATTTACAGCGGAGTCTGTTTATTCCTGGTCTTTTGGGGTTTGTGAACTGGGCAGAACAGTGACCCCTTTGGCAAACCTCTATCTCCAAGAATATTTACATTATTATTTATAACAGTAGCAAACTTACAGGTATGAAGTAGCAATGAAAATAATTTTATGGTTGGGGATCACCACAACATGAGGGACTGTGTTAAGGGGATAGCATTAGGAAGGTTGAGAACCACTGTTCTTGAGGAACCTGCAGATGCTGCTGCTGACTTCTGGGAAATTTTTTTTTATTACCAATACTTGGTGGCATCTGGGATTTTGGACTATGGTGGAATCTGTGAGTCAACCAGCTTCCTGGGTAACCAGGGCTGTCAGTTTTCTTTCTTTCTGGCCTTGTTTCATAGCCTTCCTCCCCCTCATGGTTGACTTTCCAATAGTCTTGCTGAAGATCTTTAGAACTGCTTCAGATTATTGGTTTTTAATGTGTGCGTAGGTGTTTTGTCTGCATGCCTGTGTATCTCTTGGAAAATAATGGAGGACTGACTCTTGCTAACCTCCTGGTTGTTACATACTATTTACAACTTGAAAGGGTTCATGTCCACACTCTTCTACCTTCTGTAATTTCTTTCTGAAGTCAGGGATACTTTGTGAAAGATACATCAGAGTCACCCAGGGATTCAGGATCCATACTGACAATTTCTGATACAACTCAAAAGAATTGCTTCAAGAATTTGGATGGTCTTTATTGGATTTTTGTTGTACTTACAGTACCATGTGCAGTCCTAAATTTGTGACCCCTTTCTAAGTCCTTTGGGGATACATCTCCAATATCTTTCCAGATGTTGCTACCCAACTAATTTTGAATTCCAGTTGTCTACGAGTCTGGTGGCTAGAGAAAGGGTCCTGGGACCCAGTTTCTTCTCTGACCTTACTCAGTACCAGCCCCCTCAAGCCTGGTGAAGAAGACAAGCCTGCTCAGTTAGGGGAAAAGTAACAAAATGGGGCTAAGGAAATCAGCCCCTCTTGTGGGGTCATCCTAGTAAAATGTCCCTGAGTCTTTCCAACTCAGGAGGTCAAAGGTAAAAAGGGGAATGTAGGCCCAGTAATACCCCAGTGGCTGTTCATCTTGGCGTACCCACAGAGGGATATTTTTAAATTTTTACAGCATTTATTGTGTTTTATACAATTGTTTGTATATGTGTGTGCACATGTGAGCCACAGCATGCATATGGAGGTCAGAGGACAACGTGCAGAGTCCATTATGTCTTTCTACTTGTCAAGAATCAGCTCAGGATTGCAGGCTTGCTGGCAAATGAAATCAGTGGGGATAATTTTCAAACAGCTAAAGATGAATCTACCGGGTACTACCCCGCACCGCCACTCACACCGCCACACCGTAACAGCGCTTTCTGTCCTTTTCTCTACTTCTATAGGACAGCAGTATTTCCGCCACTATTCTGAGAGTGTGTGTGTGTGTACATATTGAGAACAGAGGTCAACCTCAGATGTTGTTCTTCAGGAGCTGTCTACTTTGAGTTTTGAAACAGGGTCTCTAACTGGGTCCCGAGGCTTGCCAGCTAAGCTGGGCAGTCTGGCAGTGAGTATCAGGGATCTGTCTCCTTCGTGCTGGGATTTGAAAGCACATGGCACATCTGGTTTTATGTCACCGCTAGGGTTGAATTTAGATCCTGGTGCTTAGGCAGCAAATATTTCATCAACTGAACTGTTTTCCTTAGCCCCCATTACTCTGAACTTTGAAAAAGAAAGTTACTACATATTCACAAAAACAGGCATATTAATAAGTAAACCTTCAAGGGGAAGGACTGTATAGATGGCCCAGTGGTAAAGAAAACAGCATTGTTCTTTCAGAAAACCTGAGTTTGGTAACCAGAATCCAGCTCACAACTGCCTGTAATTCCAATTCCAGGGGATCCAACACTCTCTTCTACCCTCCATGACTATCCACGCATACATGACATACATTCACACAAATACTTACACCCATAAATAAAAATACATCTAAAACTGAAAAAAAAAAAAAAAACAAAACAAAAAACAAAAAACTATGGGACTGGTAATTATTATAAACAATAAAAATCTTACAAATGAACTTACTAAATTTAATTCAAAGTTAAATATTAGCAAACTTGTAAATTTCTCATACACATGGACTGACAAAGGTAGATGATTTTCACTCATGTTAAATATTTTAGTAAAACCCAGTATGCATTTCTGACCAAAAGGAGAAATATTAAAATAAGAATTGGGGGACACTTCCTATATAAAGTAAAAATAAATATTGCCAAGCCAACCTTCCCTTTGATGGTAAAATATTAAAAGCACCTCCATAAAAATCTAGCTGAACTTGTTAGCTTATACAAAGATTTGTATTTTTTTTTCCAAAGACAAAATGTTGAAAGCTTCATTTCCAGCCTGCAGTATTATTGGGTTGTGTTAAAACTTTCATAAA